TGGTTTTAGTCGGCATTAGTTTCCGACTTTTTCCCGCGGCGGTGTCGTCACCGGGCGGCGGAATTCGCGGAGCGGGTTCCGCTGGAAAAAGAGCGCCGGGTCTCCGTCCCGATCGTAAATTGGTATCTGCAGGCCCGCTGGAAACCGGCGAGGCCGACCTTGGCCTGGCGTACGCTTCGCCGAACGGTATTAACGAGATTTCGGCACGTGCACGCCAACTTCGGCCGAGTCGACCATAGGCGGGCCATGCGCGGCGCGCGCCACTTACGGATGGTAGTCGAAGCTCCTCTACCTCGCGATTTCTGAGGGCCGTAATTCGCCGATTTGCGAGCCGCGGGCCATCGCGATTAGCTCGTTGGCATGGAATACATTGAAGGAACAGGACCTGCACCCCTGCGCGAGGTGTTGCACGTCCGCGACTCCGCAGTGGAGGGGTACCGCCTGGACGCCGCCATGTTTGAAGGTACGTCCCTCACCTCGCGACTTTCGGGATTCGTATCTCAGGAAGTCCTGGTCCTAGAGGGTTCGGGATGGGCGCATTCTTATCAGGACTCGCGAGGGAAGTTTTTCCGTAGGATTTCGAGGTCCCGGGTTGCGGTTCCTCGATCGGGTGCCGTGATGGCGGGTGACCTTCGGCCGGAGGTCACCTCCGGTAACGGGTAATTCATGTCGGAGCCCGGGGTGCTGCGCCGACTTATCAGCGGATCTCTCCTAAGCCTGTGTACACAAAGCGACCGAAAGCAAACCCAGAGGGGAGAGCGAGGCGGAACGCGGAGAACTCGGACCGATAAATAAGATGAAGATAAATAAACGAGATAATTAGATAGATAGTGCCAGAGTCGAGGCCGGCCACGACTCGGATTATTTATGCGGACCTCAGAGGGCGCCGCGGTCGCTCGCGAAAATTCCTTGGTTGACGGAAAAGTACGCGGGGGAAAAAAAAAGAGTGGAGGAGAAAACCGGAGCGACTCGGTCTCTCCCATAAGGTGAACTTATGGAATTACGCTCTCGTTCCTGCGGACCTCTCGTCGCGTGACGAAAGCCTGAAAAGCGAGTCCTTTCGTCCCGACGCCCCTCGTCGCTGAGCGTGACGAACGTTTCGCACAGCTTCTTTCTCTCGCGAACTCATGGTCCTTTGCCTCAAGGCGGATCTTTGTTCGGCCGAACCGCGGGTTTTATCTGCCAAACGTACTTTTCCGCAGCCGAACGCCCGGAGTTGCGTGACTCGGGTCTTCCTTCCCTTGCCTCTCGTTCCCGGTGAAATGCTCCGCCCTCTCTCTCGCACGCCCGCGTGCCCCGCGCGCTCCCTCTCGCTCGCACTCACGGGCGCCCCTCAGTCGACCGCGAGGGACCGGCGAGGGAACCTCGTCAGGTGGCAATATCAGATTCGGACGACAATTTTTCATCCAGCCATGGATCGAGTGTACCGAGAGATGCGTGTCCCTCCGCGAAATTAATGTAAGAAACAGTCGAGATTATTAAAATCACCCCTCCTCGCCATATTCTTTCGCTTTCCCATAATAATTCATGCCGTTTTCTCTCTACAGAAATTTTATTTAACGCGTGAAATTTAACATCACTCAGTAATATATACTTTCTTTCATTATTGACAAATCGAGGAATTGGGGAATCGGGCGGTGAATTAATTTTATTCGACCCCTCGCTTGAGTTAAATGATATGTTAATTTATATTGCGATGTTATTATATAGAATAATCAAAATAATTGCCATATTTCATTTAAAGGGAAATAATACGATTTAAATGGTGTGGGTAGAAATTAAAACGCATGAAACAAAAACGATTGCTTATGGATTGATAAGCCTTTTTAGCTCCCTGATAAGGCGGATCCGTGGTGCGTTAACAGAGTCGCGGGATATGTACGTCCGCAAAAAACCGAAGCGAGACCACATCCGGCTCTGCCTCGGTGATATCATTGTCAGGGGCTTCCTTTTTCATCGCCTCGCCTTTTTCATCCCGGAGGGGAGAGAGAGATCGCGCGAATCGCGGGGACCTTTCTTCTTCTCGCCTCTCTTTTGCGGCCGTACATCTCGCTCGGCGTTCACGGTCGTTCTAAACTTAGCGCATTTCGATCCCACGAGGAAACCGACCGGATAATGTCGCGGCCTAGGCGTGTATGTAAATACATATGTAAATCCCATTCCCGCCTGCGGTCAGCCTTAGAAGCCATGGGTCTAGGAATAAAGGGATGGAGCGTGAAATTAGATTCTGGTCGCGCCGACCGGGGCGACCATCTTGGGTTGCTGCATTGACCTATGCAAGAAAAAAAAAATTTGCATTCATAAATTCCCCAAATCAGCAAATCAATCTGTAGTAACAGCCAAAATACCGCGGTTGTAGTGCAGAATATTACAAACGGAAATATCATTTCTACGGAGGAATTATAGTGATATTAATTCTAGGACCAAATAATTCGATTGGTCCATTTTCAAGCGTCTGCGGAATGAGTTTCTTATTACGGCGGATTAATTATTTTTACGTGGGGTTTCTTGATATTGTAGACCCACTTTAGAAACCTTTTTAGAAAATCTGAGGAGGTAGGGTCGGTGGCGAATTTTATTCGTGCGTCTTCTCCATTATCAATTTTCGCACATCGAGTTCTTCCTTGGCCCAATTGGCCGCTGCTCGTGCAAATAAACCCGGCTCTGTTTGCTCAACGGAACAGGGGATCCTTGTCGCGGGTTTTTTGCTCTTAAAGATCGGCCCGATCGCCGTTCGATTCCTGCGGTCCAAGGTTCGAGGTCCGAGGACTTCGAAAAGTCCTTCGACGTTCTGGCGGCTCATGAAAGGACGGAAAGAGAAGAGACCTGAGTCGAAATTCTTATCCCTAGAACTTCTAATTGTAGACCATAACTATGTTCGCGATAATACAAGAAAGGGTAATTTCTAAATAATTACGGTCGAAATATCATTGCTTACAAATGTCCATTTCTGGTGACAAGCATGAAACAACATTTACTTCGTATGAAACCCATCTTAAAAGGTGAAATAGGATGAAAAGAGGTCTTCCACGGTGGACCGTGCGGAAATAAATCCCAGCCCTGGAAACGCTTCCATTTATTTTTACGGACCTCCGAAACGGGGAGGAAAATCGCTCTCGGATGTACCGCCGCGAATCCGGAGGTGTCTCGCAATAAAGCCGCAATTTTATTCCGCGGCGGGACTCGCCGCGGAATTCGATTTCCTCGACGACTCCTGGTCGTCACTTCTTCGGGAGCCTCTTCGGGCCCTTCTTCGTAGACGTCGATGCGGAGACGATAGATCGTCTCGGTACATAGTTGTCGCAATGTTTGGCTCGGATCCGATAATCCCTTCAATGGCCGACATTAATGTCACCGAGTTTCGCAGCTCCGGGAAGACGACGGAGCACACACCCGATGGTTTGCTCTCGAATAAGGTATCGACTCTTTATCGACTGTTTGCCGAATCCGCGATATTCCCCGATTGCAACTGCGATAACCACGCTCGAGTAAATTCACCGAGAGTCGAATGTGTGCTCGACTCCTCGAATGGAAGCGAAATGAATGAAAATCGACTCGTAGTAAGGTCCACCCTCCCGTACCTGAAAAATCAATCGACCGCCATTTAAATCGATCTGCATGCATCAGCTGGACGCTGGGGGCGGCCAAAGTGCACCTGTCCTTTCCAAATGAAAAGAAAAACCCTTATCAATCCTCCCCTCATTCTAGATAGGCTAAAAATCCCTCCCAAATTGACGAAACAAAATGGAAAAAACCTAATTAACTCTCCCACCACTTTCAGGTATTATTCAGTAGTACGCTTTGAATTAATCATTTTTTTAAAATCAATATTCATTACCTAGCCCAGTCGGCGAGATTCTCTTTGCGTAGTCAAAAATAATCCTCCCCTGTTTTCATGGGTTCATTAATGTTTTTCATACGCATCTTGAACGTCGTTTCTGGGAAACGAGATATGTCGCCCCTTCGTTGGAGATTCGAAGACCTCATTTTTTTATTTTTTTTATGAATCAGTGGCTTTTATGAAGGAATCAGGGGTTTTAACGCGTTTTGTTCATTGTCTCGCGAGAAGGAGATAAGAGTGAGTTTGTTTTTATCGTTCGCGTCGCACATGGCGGAAAAGGGGGCAAACGGGGCAAGGTGGAGGCAGAGAGAAGAGAGACCCGGCTGGTTTATTTTGGCCGAGGATCTGTTCGGCATCTGTTCGTTAGCCACCTGTCGGCAGGTGCAAACCGTACCTTGACTCGGTCCCAACCGGTCCCGGTGGTGCCGGGTATCAATTGGCCCTTTTGTTTTCGTCAGGGCCCTCCACGAGGTCACTTTTGTTTACGATGCGTGCGTACTACGCACGTCACGCGACACCTTGTCACTCGGGTGGAAACCGCACGGCGGGGTCACCGGCGACCTCGATCGCCTCCCTTAATTCGAGGCGACGTTTCCTTCCCTCCCGGGGAATATACGGTTACACGTTGTCTCGGCGATAACGAATTATTTAATCATTCGGCCGTTCCGCGCGAGTGGCGCGCACCTCTTATCACCGGGGGCCGCCATCTTGGATCCAGCCGCGCGGACGCTCTCTTTCGTTACGTTAACCGGGGCCTTCGATCTTGAAACGTATCTTTCCGTGTCCAACTTTTAACACCCTCGGTCCCGCGGACATGCATAGCATGTCCAGCATAAATTACCCCGGCAACTTCTGAGAAACATTGTTCGCCATCACGCAACCCGAGGTGCCCTAAAACGGAGCCCGAGCTTCGCCCTCGAATTACCGCGGAGGAATCTCCGCCGAAGAATTGAGCGTCATCCAGAGATCGATTAAAGGACACTTGACAAAAATTCATTATTTGCGAGATAAGGAAATACCGCGATACGTTTCCCACATCTTGCGGTGAGTGAGAAATGGTGCAGATGGTGATGTCGAATTTTCTTCGTGATTAGGAAATTTCCTATTGTTTCCTTTTATTTTTCTCTTATTTAAGGGTTCTTCTCCCTTCTATTTGCAGGCTGCCATTCTCCAGCAAACGGCGGAATACATCTACCAGTTGGAGCAGGAGAAGACCCAGCTGCTCTCGCAGAACTGCCAGCTGAAGAGATTGGTGAACCAGCACGAGGGCGGCGATGCACCCATCAAAAAGCGCAAGGCGGAGAGCCAAGGTTGGTTGATCACCCAAAACTCAAAAGCATTAAAAAAAAAAGAACCATTACGAATAACCGCCCCTAGGTCCATTTTCCCCATATTCCCGAACGTCTCGAGGAAAACCATCTAATCCAAAGCGTCAACCCACGGCCGGATCCTTTCTCTTTCTCTCCAAATAAATATTCATGGAAACCCGAGACCCGGGGGAACCATTACAACCGGTAATTATTTTCCCTCCGAAATAACTCGAGTCGTTTAAAGCCGGGTAAAAGAATCGAGAAAGCAAGCGATATCCCCGATCGGTGACGACTTAACCGAGGATGCACCTGTTCCTCTAAATGGGACCTCACAAGGTGCAACTGTTCCTCCCTCCCTCCCCCTCGAGCGATCCGCGAGCGTTTCGCTTTTTGAGCCGCGACAACGTTCCGAATTGAAAAACATAAATCTCTTCTCACCCTGAGGGGGAGTTTTTAATAAAATTTTACTACCTCCAGGGTGAAGCGCTGATCAATTTTACCAATAATTCTTGCTTTTTTCGCGTCCCCTTGTTTGGGTTTGATTGACTTTTCCGGGGCTTCCAGGGGTGGTGGTCAGCTTGCCGATGCACGTGAACGAGAGCGGCGACGAGGGCCTGGGTAGCATGTCCCCGGAGCCGCTGTCCGTGATAACGGTGTCAACCGAGGGTCACTCCGTCGTGAACAGCGAGGTGGTGGAGCTGAGGCGACAGCTGGAAAGGGAACGTCACGCGAGGATGCACCTGGAGAAGCAGATGAGAGCGATCCAGACCCAGCTCTATCCCGAGCGGTTCCGAGACAATCAGCTGATAGCGTACCAGCCGCACGAGGTGGGTCTCTAAAAAAAAAAAAAAAATCTTAAGGGGTTACTACCCTAAAAAAACTTGAAATAGGATTTTTTCCTACGAACTTAGAGATTTTTAGATGTACTAATAAAAAAAAATCCAAATTTTTTTTATATATAAATGTGGATATTTTTTATATTACGTTTATACGCGTTTAATCAAGGTTGGGTTAAGTAGATGAGAATTGATAGAATGTATTTTTTATTGAACAGGTGATCGAGCATACGGACAACGTGATGGCGCAGGAGACAGAGGAGGCAGTGGCGGCGCTGCAGGTCGTCTCCGTGGTGTCCCTACCTCCGGTGGGGTCGACCCAGACGGTGGAGACGTCGAGTCCGGACCCCAGTCCACCGATGTCTCCGCAGCCGGCAGATATGGTGCCGGAGGAAGTGAAGGACGAGCGATCGCGTCCAGCGAGTCCGAAGATCGTCGGGTTCGCCCAGAGCAGTCAGGTGTTCCCAGCGATCGACGACCAGGCGACCTCGGACTCGTTCTCGCCGACCTCCAGGGTGGCCTACGCGAGCTCGGCGGCTGACTTCAAGACGACCCAGTTCATAACGGCCAGCCCGAGCAGGCCATTTTCGCCGGACGTGGAGCCTCAGCGACTGCCGAGTGTCCTGGAGGCGGCGATGAAGGCGGAGCCGAAGGTGGAGGTCGAGAGGTACGTATCCCCGGATCCTCGATTCGCGTCCAGGGTGGAGGTGAAGAAATTTAATGTCGACGTTCTCGTAGGTTGCCCTCGCCAGTGACCTCCTTGGACGACGGGACGCCCCAGGCGCGGCTCTACCTGGCGAACACGTCGCGGCAGAACCTGGAGACCATCGTTGAGGCGATACGCCACCTGGAGGGCGACCACCTCTTCAGCGACGAGCCCGCCCAGGACGTGCCCCTAGCGCTGACGAACAAACCCACCGCGGCGCCGGCCTCCTCGACGAAGCAGCGACTCCTGCACGCCGAGGTGAACAACTTCCTCCAGTTCCACTCGCAGCAGCAGACCCAGCAGCGACCCGGAGTCATCGTGGTCAAGCACTCGTGATCCACCGGGTCGCCCTCGAGGAAGCACTGAAGACTCGCGCCGCGACGTCCCGCCCGGAGTCCTTGATCCCGAAGAGCCGAATCTCGGCCTTGACCCAGGTCGAGGGCTGCACCTTGCCGTCGACTTTTACCCAGGTTGGGGCTCGACCTCGAGGGGTCGGCCCCGGGGTGTAGGGCGCCTTCGTCGAGGGACTCTCCTGGATTTAGCGTCGCATCGGTCCCCTCACACCCCCGTGTCGCGTCAAGCTCACCCCGTCCTCCCCGAGGAGTCCTACCCCAACCTCCCCGTCCTGGTCCCCTTGTAAATATTTCCTGGTCCCTCTCTCCGAGGCGAGCACCTTGCTCCAGGTCGAGGCGTTCCGAATCTCGCTCCTCGCCTATGGAGAGGTCCTTATACGATTTTCGTTTTCTCCCTTGTTTTGGGTCTCTCCTTGTCGAGAGTCGAGAGCCGCGGGAGAGAGAGAGAGGGTTAGGCGATAGCGTTAAAGAGCGAGGAGGATAGCGTCTTTTCCACTGTAAGACTTAGGCTTAGGCTTCGAGCGATTACTACCACAATAATATTCCTAGCTATGTAAGGCGTACGCTGTGCATTGTAATATACATATATATATATATACACATTATATATATATATATTTACGTTTCTTTTTTATATTGTTACGGGGAAGTCGACAAATGTAGGCGAACTTGGGGCGAGCCGCGGGGGGAACGGGGTAGGAGCGAGAGAACCGAGACTCCTATATCGCTTGTTGCCCAATGCGTTTATTTTCCGTCTTTGGTCAGACGTCTTTTGCAGGGTTGCTTACGAAAATCGCTTAGTTCTGGACGCGGTGGAATTTCGCACCCTCGCTATCCGAAATCATCCCGAATCTGTGCCAAACGAGGTTTACCATGGACCTCCTCGAGGACCTCGGAGGACGTCGTCGTGGCAGACGCGCCTCCTGGTTTCCGGCGACCAAAGCCCCCCTCTAGTGATTTCGATTAGTTAGACTCGTTAGGAAGAAATTCATACTTTCAATCCCTCATTTAGCGATACCAAATTGTGTTATCTTAATCGATAAGTAGCGAATGGTCCTCGACGAGGATGTCCGGTTCTCTCGCGCGGCCATTTTGCTTTTCCCCTCCCGGCGAGCGACCTTGAAGATTCCTCTCGCGGGGTCACCTCGCGAGGTAGGCTTCAGAATTCGGTTTTCGAATTTTTCTACCGACTGTCCGAGATGTAAATGAGCATTATCGAAGAAAAGGAGGGACAGGCGAGCGGTGAATAATGGTCTTTTTTTTTTTTATACGTTCGTGTTTTCCCCCAAGAAGACACCGCCCTGATTAAGGGCGGCGCGAACCGAGTGTGCTAGTTGTTTCGGAGTATTTCTTAACGACGTCCTGGACGCCCTGGTCCGATAATCGTTGCTCGCGTCCGAGACTACGGTACAATGAGATTTCCTTGTCAGAAGTGCGTTACCGTTGTCGCGTGTGATTTTATAACCGATTTATGCGTCGAGGAGGCGCCGATTTCGCGTGGCGCGAATAATCAGAACGATATTTTGTCAATTTACGAGATTTCTTCTATGGCGTTGGGTATCGGGAGTCGCGGGATTCCTTCTATTCGTAACAAAAGTGATACTAGGGATAAAGATATAAAAAGGAGAAAATTGAAAAAAAAAAGGATATAAGAAATGAAAATGTACGTGAAAGAAGGAAGGAGAAGAGAGATACCAAAGCGGCGCTTAGAAATCCGCGCCTCTCGACCTGTTGCCCCGCGCGTGACAACATGTTCGATCGATCGGAGATCGATGACTATTTTTTTTTCCCCTTCATCGTTAACTCCACATTCATTATCTTCATGTCACCGGCTCATCGAATGGTTCTTTTTTTTTTCCCCCCTAAGAGAAAGGAATGGCGATCGCATCCGTGTAGAGAAAAAGAGGTCGCGGAGCAGGATGATTATAGGTAGACTTAACAAATTGCTGATAAGGCGTGTCGAGGGCAAATCCTTATTGAGATTTAGACGAGAGTGGCTGTGCGGTAATATAACTGGCGAACGGCGACTACGAAATTAAGGATAAGCGTAATTAAGAAATTAAGGTAACACTTCGACTTACGAGGGGCGAGTTGGCCTGGGTCGTTCGTAAGAGTATATCCTAAATCCGAATATCCGCGAAGGCGTCGAAAGCTAACATTTTGTCTGGTCTATGAATTATTTTTCTTATCGATTATACATACATACATATATATATTACTCCCGAGGGAAGAATGATTTTTGAAAGGAGATTTTTTCCCACGTCTCAATCTGCCTTCTGCACGAAGGGGTAGCTTCTTTCGTCTGCTTTGAGGGAATTGACTCGATGATTTCGTATAGAGGACGGGAGAGTGATCTTCGACAGCTGTCATTAGGTGGCGACTTAAAAATCTGTCTAGAGTAGGTACTGGAGATGGTTAACGGAGAGTATGCCAGAGAGCGTGAGTAAAGTGTGGAGAAAAAGGAATCTATATAGATATATGAATATAGATATACAAATTATATATAAATATATGTATATGTACACATTTGAAACATTATGTAGCGCAGCGGGGAGATGTTTGAACTTCTTGAAATACATTTCTTTTTCTCTGCTTACGTTACCGTTGCGATCACTCCGGATAGTTTCCGTACAGCTAATCAACTATAATCGGTGACGAGGGAAACAAGGGGTAGAATAGGAGAATCGAGAGGTAAATGAGAAAAATACTGCAAATGCATACCAACGATGCCACGGTAGATTCGCGAATTTGGACGCCTCGCCGAGATCGGTATCGGACGCGATGACAGCTTCGCTCTGTCCATGAAATTCTGATTTGTATTAATTATTAAGATAATTAACATTCATCTTAATCCACTGGCATCGACTGGATGGCACTAGCCATGCACAGGGACGCAACAAAATTTAGATGTTCATTGGAATGACGCTGGAGATATCCAAAAATGTCCAAGATGCAGAAGAAGCAGTCGTGCATCTTGAATGTCCGATGAACATCCAAATGGATTCCCGTGCTTGGCTCGTGTATCAGACATTTGTCAATGATAATCCGACAGCTTAGCGATGTCAACCTCGATCCCATCTCGGCGTGTCCAAATTGTCAGGATTCGGAGGAGGTTTAAAGGAAGCGGTTTAAGGCATTTCGCACGTTACATCGTCAAGACTTCTCACCTAATTCCCAACTTTTTTACCCATTCATGGCCATGTCATTCTCGATAATAACACATACAGGGCGGACCAATTTTGTTACGCACCCCATGTGTTCCCAGTATATCCCCATAGTGAATAACAAAGAGTAAAGACCAGCTTTTGATACATAATTTTCACGACGACATCCGACATCGCTCCATGACTGCGAGTGAAAAATCACGCCAGTACTTTGGCACTGTCTCCTTAAACAATGTGATCTCAAGCTTCTTCTCGGCCGTGTAACTCGCGAAGCGCTTTTCTCCGAGCTTTGAAATGTAAAGATCCTAATTGATAACAATTTTTTTTATTAAATCGGTGTCAAGTTAAACGCTCTCAGCTAGTTCCTAGGTCTCGGCTCTAACAGCGTGCGAAGCAGACACGAGTCTAAACTGTACCGTTGTCACTGATTTGTCGTTTTAAAGATTCAACTCGAATGCCCTCGGTGCTCTAAGAGGGAACGACTTTGCATTTTCCGTACTCTGCGTCTGCATTTTGATACTTGTTAAAGGAAGATACGCGTACCGAGGGTCTCGTAGGTAGGGGGAAAAAAACACTCTCTTCCGAATCCACGTAAATGAAGAAAACGCAGAAAAAAGGCAAAAAAAAAAAAAACAAATAAGAGAGAGATAAACGATCGCGAGGCGGAGGAACGCGGAAACTGAAATGTAGAGCGGAAGTGTGTGTACGGACCGGCGTTATGATATATGCGGAGCGCATAATTGTAATAATAAAGAAAGATAAAAAAGTTCCTCATTCAAGCTGCGTTTGCCGCGTGCGCCGAGAATCGCGAGGCGCAGGTCGCAAAGTGCTGCCACCACATGAACAGACTGCCGTTGACTTGAAACGTACACGTTTGTAATAAGAAAACTACACTAATATACGAAGAGAGTGAGAGAGAGCGAGTGGGGACCGCGTGAGAGCGAGCGAGAGGGCGGAGAACGGTGCAAGCGGGGGAGCGCGAAAACCTCTTCTCGCCTTGCGCTTAAAAAAGCGGAAAGAGTCGAGAACGAGGGAAGAAGTTCGCACTTCTTCGCCGTGAATGGGGCAAGAGCGAATGTATGCGTGTAAATTGAGAAAGAGAGAGAGAGAAAGCGAGAACGAGCCGTGGAACAAGAGACCGACCGGGCCCCGCACTTTCCGGCGTATCTTGCTAAAGGAGCACCGAAATGCATTTCTTTTCCTTTATGTTTTTCTTCTTAGTTTCTTTCCCGAGTCCCGCCACTCGACTTCGCAGGTGTGTTCGAGATGTGTCCCACCTCTCCGGTAGAAAGAAAGATACGTCGGAAGGTTCATAGGGGGAGGGAAAAAATCGGTGCAAAAATCGAGTCCATTCCTAACGGGGAGCCTGTGTGGAGAACTCTCTTCCGGAGGAGACTCCGTTCTCCTGTATTTTTCTTGGCATTTTCCTTTTCACGGTTCCTTTCTTCCTTTTTCTTTTCTCGTTTCCACTCTGTTCCCGTTGGATACAGATTTTTGCCCCGACGAAAAGCCCCGGTCGCAGCTCGTTTCTTCGCGTCGCTCGTGGCGTAGCACCGGGGTAAAAAGAGACCACCTCGCCCGGGTCCGGCATTTTCGAAAACGCGTCAGCGGGGGTGCTTTTTACCCCGTTCTATACGGCTCGACCGACCCGAACGAGCCCTGACATCTTTTCTTTTTTCTTTTTGATATGTCTTCTTTGTCTAAGAGGGGGCATCCGCATCATTTTTCAAGCCGAGCTAAAGGAAAGGGGGAAAAAGAGTCCCGCGATGCGAGGCTCGTGGGGGGAAAAGGAAGGCGACTAAATTCCTTCCTTTTCTCCCCCACTCGTTGTTTTCACATTTCCGTTGATTTTCCTGTCCATCCTCTCGGAGTGTGTTAAAAAAAAAAAAAGAAGAAAAGCGAGCGAGCGAGTGTCCGAGATCTTCTTTCGAGGTCGTGGTATATAGGAATACGTAGGAAGGGAAAGGAAGAAAAGGAAAAACATAATTCTCTGTGATGTATTTATATAACTTCATTGTACGGATTTAAAAGAACTATCGCTACGATTATTATATTACCACATTATTAATTCACCGACAGACCCATATATATTATATGTATTATTATTACCGATTATCATTACATTACTATTATCATTACGATGATTATTGATTATCTTGCGATTATTATCATTATTCATTATTACCGCCGCCCCTCACCAGATACCATTTAAACGTGCGGCGAATCGAGTAATATAGCTGTCATTATTATATATTACTAAAAGAAGGAATATTGCATACTTACGTATTTAGCGCTATATCGTACACTTCTATCCCACCCCCTGCCCCTCTCCCAAAAACCCCGAGCCCCGAAAAAAAAATTGCGATTAGATATCGACGGGTGAAACGAGGAAACCGGCCGTGATATTTTGCGAGTGCGTGTGCGAGCGATAGACTTCGTGTCTCTCCTTTTAATTTATTAACTTTTAAGCTTCGTTTGTGCGTATGCGGTGCGTCAGGAGGTGCGTATACGAGGGCGGCTTTCTTCGAGTCCTTGGAAGGGAGTGATAAAGAGCGAGTGATAGGAGGCTGATATGGCGCTGAGAAAGAACTAGGATCGCGTCAGAGTTTAATTTCCGACTTTGAGCGACGATTAGGTGAAATTTAAAATGCGGCATTAAACGTTGATCGTTTAATTCCTAGGTAGAAGGCGCTAATGCGACCGCGACACCCGAGCCGCTGATAATCTCTTATCAACCGAGTCGCCATCCAGGAGGGTACTTGAAAAGTCGCTCGAATATTCTATATTTATTTGAAAAAATTAACAAAAACCCCTTTTCAACCTCTCTGTAACGTTAGATGACTTATAAGTCCCGTACCCTTGTACCGATATCTTATGAGTCTCTACCGTGGAATTTGTTTATAAATTATAAATTTACAAACAAATCGCCAATGTCAGGGGGTTAATGTATCTTCTGGCAGTTTTTCGTCGATTAAATGTAATTGACCTTGCAGAGGGTCGAGAGGGTTTAGGTTTAGGATGGAGTTTTTGTGGTCTCGGGTGTCGAGGTTCCGCGCCGAGCAGTTCTCTCCCGATTTCGGGGCGGAAAGGAACGCGAGCGAGTATACGAGAGAAAGTGAGAGAAACGAGTGCGTGTGTGGTGTCCGTTCCGACTAGACGTCGTATTACCGAGTACAGATAAGTATCGCGTATGCGAGAGAGACCACGGAGGCCCCGAGCGAGTGCGACTTTTGTGCCAGACACGCCGGAAGCGGAGTCGCCATTTTGGATAACCGGGGATCTCGTGCGCAACTTCCGGGGAGCCTCGTCACCCCCCCCGCGACACCTTTCGCAAGACACAATCGCATATTCTAGCTTACGTAAAGTGAAAAAGAAATGGTAATTCCTATTTAAAAGCAAATTCGTCGGAGCTCTCGCAGTATTAAATTATATTACACGTTTTGTGTACATACACACATGCATATATATTATACATATATTATATATATAAATATTAACGGGTGACAAGAGCGTTAATCCCCTCCTCCTCCCCCCCCCCACACACACCAGACCGTTATCGCGTATGTAAACACACATGACGGCTATACGTATAACTAGATGTTACACATTTTATATTTTTCTAGTAGAGGGATGAAAAGAGACTCTTAGGTAAACGGAAAAAAAAAAACAAGTAATAATAATGATATGTCGGATATGTAGGATGTAATCTCGGCTTTGTGAAAGGTGTCGCGTGGGGGACGACGGGGGGGCCTGCGGCGATTCCGCCTCCTCTCCTACGTCTAATGCCGCGTGCGGCGCCCCGAGAGGAAACACGCAATCTTCATCTACGTATATCTATATTTAATAACCACGTTTATTGTACGCGGTACGAATTACCATTCACCGCCGTGAGGATGCGTCTTCGCGTTGCATGCCGCTCCATCGCGTATCGAGGCGAAATCGCTCTTCGGGAAAGCGGAAGTCACTCTGTTAGGTCGGTGCGTGATTAATGTTTCGGATGCGGGTTTTTACATGTAATTACTGTCATCGCGAATCATTAATTATGTCCCGGTCTGATACATATACATATATATAAACAGGATGTACGGCGGCAGATTACCGTGTCTTCCAAAACGCGCAAACGCGAGGGCTCGGCACCTCCTCCTTGATTTCGGACGAATTCATGAGATAAAAGTGCGGAAAGGATCGTCGAGATATCTCGTAAGTGCTCTCTCTCGAAGGAAACCAATGCTTCCCACGAATCTCCTCGCGAAAGGCTGCTCGAAATTCCTCCATTCTCTTTCCTTTCTTCTCTCCTACCCATCGACGCGCTCGATAGTGCACCTCGAAACGAGTGTTTGGAAAGCACGGTATCTTAACGCGTAGAATACGCCATAATCTTTACGTAATATACGAAGAAGAGCGCCGAGGCTGATAGGAATTTCGACCGGACCCGTGGAGTACACGGTTTCCTTTTTTTTCCCCCTTTTTTTCCCTACCCTTTCTTCGCCACAAAATGGCGCCCGGTGCGGCTCGGGATTTCCCCCGGCCTCGCGGAAGACAGTTTTTCAACTTTCCTTTTTCTACCGATTTTGTATACTTCCGAAGAGACTTGTCGATTATAGACGTGGTGTGTAATTATATCGGCGACCGATTGTCATTTAACTTACCGGTTGGTCTGCAGTTTCTTTTATTTTTCTTCTACTTTTTTTTTTTCTTACTAGGCGCGATGATAACGATTATTATATTATTGACATAACAATGCAACTTGGTGCGTGGCCTGATATCGCGTTCACCGGCTTAAGGCTCTATATCTATGCATATTTATATACACATATACGCGTGTGCATATTTATACAGCATTCCGCAATTCGTCGGTCCCAAAATAGCCGAAGCTACGCCGCTCTCCCTTTCTTGTAATTACGGATTAATATCCCCGAGTTAAGCTAATTCCGCTTTTCAAATGACAGCCATGCGCTTCTTGTCGGTTTGAAATTCGTTTTCTCGGTTATTTGCGTTGTTTTTATTTTTTTTTTTCCTTGTACGTTTCTTTTCCTTTTCCTTGATCGGGCGCGGTGAGTCTTACTTTCTTCCCCCCCCCCCCTCCGATTCTTCTTTACGGCGAGATAAGGTCGATAGCGACCAAGTGGCAGTGTTATCGATACACCCTTATCGTCGTAACGCTGTATGACATAGTTATGAGACCTCGCAAATCTGTCGGCGTTGGTAAGCAATCGAAACACGATTTCTTAGGAGCTAAGGAGGCAAGTGATTGCGCCAGGAGAAGTACAAATTATTAACAAAAGAAAACGATAACGAAAAAAGAAAAAAAGTGAAAAAAGTTAATGCGAAAAAATCAATCAGTCGAGAGAGCGAGGGAGAGAGAGAAAGAGAGCGAGAGAACGAGAGAGAAAACCTGTGAGACCAATGTGAAAGAGGTGTAATGTCTGGTTTAAGTTTCGTCGCCTTTTTATTTCTTATCTTTATTATCGCTTGTAGCATTGATTCGAAATACCTTGAAATACAAAAATTAATAAAGAATGTTATTTGTCGTTAAATTCATTTCTCACGCCTGCTCCTTCGGTATCTTAATATACTTCGGTGAAAGAGATACGAAGGCAGTTTGCATTACGATTTGCTCCACTTAATGTAAAACGTGGTAATGTGCATTTCAATAAAAACCAAAGAACTTCAACTCTTTACAAGATCACGAGTCTGTGACAAATGTTTAAATTATCGGAGCGGGCTGAAAACGCTCAGCTTCGTCGTAGCTCCATGTAATAAATCTTGATTATAGTTTCCCGTGTAAATATATATGTATAAAAAAAATTACATCGACAGTACGTTTCCGCAGGCACTTCCGAGTTTTTTTTTAAAGCTTTACCGAAATCAGACTCAACGAGTGGGCTATCTTTTTGATGACCCGTGCAACAATCGGTGCAACAAAATAGTGATACGTTATTCGATGACACTAATTAAAAGACTATTCTTAAATATTTACGTAAGTAGAATTCATGGTGCTTTTCGACTCGATTCGAATATATGTAAATTAAATATGAAATTGGGGTAAAACTGTTCATGATCCACAGGATAGACAATCCGGATTGTCTCTCGTGCAAACAAAGGAAGGTTCCAGCTTGTCTTCATCCAACTTCCGTTTTCGATTTTGGTCCCACTTTTGCTGTTCCGAAAAGGAATCATTCAGGCTGATGTTGGCAGCACTCGAATTTGGAGAGTGGCCGTTAACCGTGTTGGCACTTCTCAGCTTTGATTTATCCACTGTGAATTGCAGAGCATTCGCAGCTGGCTTTGTTCGCAGGTAGTACATGCCAGTCTTGAGGCCCTGGGTATAAATAAAAAAATTATTATAATTAGAAAGAACACTTTCACTTGAACACTTTTACTGGTGTAGGTGACCGGTACCTGTTTCCAGCCATAGAAGTGCATCGATGTGAGCTTCTCCACCGTAGGCGTAGCCATATGGATGTTCAATGATTGGGACTGATCGATGAAAGCTCCTCTGTCCACTGCCATTTGTAGAATGACTTTTTGTGATATCTCCCAAACTGTTTTGTACAGTGCTTTAAGGTCATCTGGTATACCTTCGATGTTCTAGAAGATTCAAAATAATTATTATATATTATAAATTGTCTTCTGCGATTTTATCTTTATGTAATTCTCGTTCATACTTGTATAGAGCCGTTACTCGCGATTATTTCATTTTTCATGTCTTCGTTCCACATATTCTGTTCCGTAAGGTCTTTCAACAGATGAGGGTTTACGATCTGAAACTCTCCGGAGAGGACTCGTCGGGTATAGATGTTACTGGTGTACGGTTCAATGGATTCGTTGTTTCCCAAAATCTGTGCTGTAGATGCCGTAGGCATTGGGGCGATAAGCAAAGAATTGCGAACACCGTGTTTTGCTATTTTTTCTTTCAGAGCTGCCCAGTTCCAAAGATTAGTCGGCGTTACGCCCCACATATCGTACTGCAAAATCTGTAAGCAAAGAATATATCAATTAAGGAATTTCCTTCAATATTGTTTTACAAGAATTTTAAATTTGTGATATATACTGACCCCTTTACTAACAGGACAGCCTTCGTAGGACTGATAAGGACCATCCTTTTCCGCAAGTTCACAACTCATTTCAAGAGCTCCGTAATAAAGGGTCTCAAAGATTTGAATATTAAGTTTTTGTGCATTTTCACTTTCAAATGGGTATCGCATGAGGAGAAAAGCATCAGCCAGTCCTTGTATGCCAATACCTGATGCACAGTTAAGATATTTACCATGAAACTTTATTAATATTTTGAATATTGTTTTACTCAATTTAGACACTGTTTCTTACCTATTGGTCTGTGCTTTTTATTCGATCTTTCAGCTTCCGGAATGGGATAATAATTAATATCTATGACCTTGTTTAGATTGCGTGTAACAACCTTTGCGACTTCTTTCAGTTTAACAAAGTCAAATTTCTTGGTGGAAGGATTAACAAACATGTTCACAGCTATGGAAGCTAAATTGCATACGGCTACTTCATCAGGACTGGAATACTCAACGATTTCTGTACAGAGATTGCTGCTTTTAATTGTGCCTAGATTTTGTTGATTCGATTTACGATTGCAGTGATCTTTATACAGCATGTACGGAGTTCCAGTTTCAACTTGGGCCATTAGAATGGCAGACCACAGGTCTCGAGCTTCCACTTGACGCTTATGACGACCTTCTTTCTCATACCTTTAATATACAATGCCGTTACATAAGGTAATAATATCCTAATACGAAGTTAGAGGTAGTACTTACTGTGTGTACAGTTCTTCAAATTTTTTGCCCCAAACATCATCTAATCCAGGACACTCGTGAGGACACATTAAAGACCATTTGCCATCGTCAAAGACTCGTTTCATAAACAGATCAGGAATCCACAAGGCATAAAACAATTCTCTTGCACGATGCTCCTCTTTGCCTGTAGTTTGGATTAGTTTAAATCTAACTGAATTGGTTTCTTAAAGAATACCACTATTTCATTATGAAGGAACAATTGTTACCTGTATTTTTTTTGAGTTCTAGAAATTCAAAGATATCGGCATGCCATGGTTCCAAATACATTGCAAAAGCACCTGGTCTTTTATTACCACCTTGATCGACATAACGAGCAGTATTATTATATACACGAATCATGGGTACCAAACCATTAGATTCTCCATTAGTGCCTGATATTCTAGTTCCTTTCGCTCTAATACAATTAATACTTAGTCCGATTCCTCCGGCTGATTTACTGATAAGAGCACATCTTTTCAATGTATCATAAATGCCCTCGATGCTATCTTCGCTCATTGTCAGCAGGAAACAGCTGAATACAAATAAATTACAATTAGCCAATATATTTAGTGAGTCAGTTAAAGAACATCAGACTATATAAATTCTGATTGTACCTGGACATTTGTTGCCTAGGTGTGCAGGCAAAAAATAGTGTAGGTGAAGCATGAGTAAAGTAGCGCTCCGATAAGAAATTGTATGTTTCTATAACCTTTTCAATATCCTCTTCATGAATTGCCACAGCTACACGCATTAGCATATGCTGTGGTCTTTCAACGACTTTGCGATTAATCTTTAGTAGGTAACTTCTCTCAAGGGTTTTAAAACCAAAGTAATTATAACTAAAATCTCTATCATAAATAATTGCAGAATTGAATACATCGGCATGATTCTGAATAATATTGTGATGTCTTTCACTGATCATTGGTGTATGTTCATTCGTAAATGTATTCTTCACGTTATACAGATCTGACATTACATCTAAAAATGTCATAGTAAAGGACTGATTAAGTAATTAGGCATTAATAAAATTGACAGTGAAAAATAAAGAATACTACGATTACCGCTGAAACTTTTCTTAGTTTCTTTATGCAAATTCGAAACAGCAATTCGGGCTGCTAGTATTGCATAGTCTGCGTGTTTTGTCGTCATAGTCGCAGCAGTTTCAGCTGCTAGATTATCAAGTTCTACCGTTGTTACTCCAGAATAAAGGCCACTGATGACACGTACTGTAATCGCTGGCTGCAATCACATGTTAGATAAATTATTATATCATTGCAGTTACTTTCAATTTTCATTATGTTATTAAAATACAGTGTCAATATCCAATAAGAATAAAAAGTATACTTACAGGATCGACATAATCCATGTCCAACCCATAACATAGCTTTTGTATGCGTGATGTGATTTTGTCAAAATGTACTTCTTCCTTACGCCCGGCTGTTGTAGAACGTCAAGAAATTAATATAAAAATTTAAATCTTAGACCTCTCTCCTACGGCGCACTAACATTAAGCGATTAATTAAAAGTAAAAATATACATGCTCTGATAGTCACCAACTTACATCGCTTCACCACGTACATCTTCCCTTTGCGAATCATCTTTCCAAACGAATAACTAAAATAAATTAATTAAAATAAAATCTCTTAAAATCGAGCCTAAGCCTTGCAATGCGGAAGCCTGAGCTCTACTACATTTTAGCGCCAAACGGAAACGACGACGTTTGTTATCCGGTCACGTGTTCCCCTCAGTAACCAAACATTCTGATTGGAGTATGAAACTAGTGGAACAGAAACAACTTTTGATTGGTGGAATCGATTGTTAAAGAAATTATTTCTAACTTATAAGGTCGGAGTCACATAGAGCACGTGGAGCGTCACATAGAACGCAATGTGTCAACGTAGAGCGTTTTCGAGCGTATTCGTTGCGCCGCCCTTGGGGGCAAAAAACGGTGAAAGCTAACCTACGAAACCAGAGGGCAGCACAGGATGCGATCGCACGATCCTGCCCGTGAGCAATCTCCCAACTCATCGCTGTGGCGGACTTCTTGAACTATTTCTGGGTAAACGTGCGCCGTACTATTTACGCTATTGATCTATGGCGTAGATATTCGCGCAACGCAGCCGTGCGCGAGCACGGGGGAGGGTGAGTGACGAAAAATGGCGATGACCTGTGTACGGGACGTCCGACACAGTGACGATTGGCGACGGAGAAAAGTGTGACAATTGTCGCGCGACACGTCGGATCGCTGCTGCTAAAAATGTCCCTGCACGTGCAGCCCGTAGTCAGCGTTTTCTCCTGAACCCTGCGACTCTTCATGGAAGTGTGCGGCTGAGTGGATCTGCGAGAGAGAAAAAAAAAGATCAAGATCAGTGGTTGCGAAACGTCACAGCAGGACGACCCACATCCAGGCAAGGCGCGACTTCGAACTTAACTTGGGATATTTTCCCTTCCACCTGTGGTTCGATATCCGCGATGACCCTCCGAATACGAGAATCATCGCCGTGGAGAAAATATTCGTCCTTGCGGTTGGCTGAGCGCCCTTCTCTCGCTTTTATAGAAAGTGTTGGATGTAAGGTTAGGCGTTTGACACTTGGTCCGCTCTCAGACGGTTTTCGAAACAGTTACTCACACTTGCGCGCTTCGGTGATTCTCGCGTGTTAAATACGGGGGCTGAATCACTTTCTTTGAAGATTGATCCACCGAGTGTCTACAAATGGATGGAAATAGTCGTCTGTTCCTTTGTGTAAAAGACCCTACTCATTGAATGTAAATTATTTGAGTAGCGTGGAAAGATTACCGTCGCAGTGATTAAGAGCGTAAATAGGAAGGGTAATGACTGTTCGCATGTGTTGGAGTACATTTGTCATATTTGGCAAGGTGCCCATGTAACTGAGAAATCATATGTCGGCTTGTAGACAAAGCGAGCAAGTGGTATTGTTATTGGTTGTCTCGATTAATCAGCAGTTCTGGGAGAGTTGGTCGGTGGTTATTTAGCGACTCTTGTTTTAGGTTTGGTAAAAATAGAGGGAAGCATGGATTTAAAAATGGAGCAGGAAACGGTGTATGGCACCCACGAGGACTGCCATGTCGTCATGTCGGAAAAGGTGCAATCGTTGGCAGGGAGTATATACCAGGAGTTTGAAAGGATGATCGCAAGATACGACGAGGATGTTGTCAAAGAACTGATGCCTTTGCTAGTCAATGTTTTGGAGTGTTTGGATATCGCGTACACGGAAAATCAGGAACACGAGGTTGAGTTAGAGTTGTTGCGGGAAGATAACGAACAGCTCGTTACGCAATACGAAAGGGAGAAGCAACTCAGGAAAACATCGGATCAGGTAGATGGGAAATCTCTTAAATATAACTTTCTAACACCATGAAAGTTCTGATCTTGACGTTTAATGCACGCATACAGAAACTGTTGGAATTGGAAGATGTTGCCGAAGACGAAAGAAAGGAATTGTTGTCAAAGATCGATAGCTTGGAATCTGTCCTGCGGATGCTGGAGCTCAAGACGAAGAATTCCCATGACCACGGTACAATAGCCAAAGCCAACTCCAGTTCACCTTCCCACAGTAGAGTAGAATCTTTTCTTTTTTTTTCTTCCATGCATTGGTTTTGTTTCAAGCACGTCCTGGGATATGTGGGTAGTCGGAACAATATTGCATGCTTTGGCTTTAACCGTTATCTTTTATTTCATTAACTTTTGTTTCTTCTACATTTTCTATTTTTTTTTTACAAAGGTGTTACAAATTATTGACTTGTTACTTCAATTTTTGATTCTCGTCAATGTACTTGTGCACATGTGTTTGTTGTTAGAAAATACACCTAGGCAACGTATAAATATATTCTTCTGATGATATTTGCAGTGGTTCGGTTGGAAGAAAAAGAATCTGAATTGAAACGCGAGTACTCTCGGTTACATGATCGATATACAGAATTATTTAAGACTCATGTAGATTATATGGAGCGAACCAAAATGTTGGTCGGTAGCACGGAGAGACTGGAAAACACGACTGCCGGTCGTGGTCCATCCCGATTGCCATCTCTCGGTATGGCCCACATGTCTCGAAGTTCAGGGCCACTTAGTTACGGGTTCCAAAGTTTAGAGGCCAGTATAAACGCGGAGGATAGTCAAGAAGAATCTGTACCAAATGCTGCTAGCTTAAGGACTGAAATGTTGGACAGTAGCAGCGAGGCTGCCATCGAAACATCGGATAAGAGTCAGTTAACCGATCAACCAGCGCAAGAAAATAAAACGACTGCCATCTCTAGACGTAAGTCGACCCCCCGAATAAACTTTCCAAATGTCATTTGAGCTCTTAAAGATTAAAGGCTAATAAAAATTTATATATTTTTCATAATATTTATCTGATATCGATACAAATAACGATCATTTATGTGTAGATGAAAGTCCAGAAACGGAAATGCCACCACCAGTAATAACACCAACCTCTCCTTGCGTGGAGAAGGTAGCTACCACCCCGAGTGGTCGAAGTAGAACCGAAAGAGAACAACGTAGTGGTAACACCCTCTACCAGGAGCTTAGTTTTCAGGACGCGGATGCTTTAGGAGAAATGGACGAAGGAGCTGACATAACTGGTACATTGTTAATTTCAAATTACCGAGCCATTTTATTCTTACGTAACAATTTTAGTTATGATCTCAGACTAACTTGGAACCTTCATTAATCTTTCAGGCAGTTGGGTTCATCCGGGAGAATATGCATCATCGGGTACGATTACTTGGATATCCCTTATCCACCGTAACTTCAATCATGGAGTTTATTCGATTGATCCCGTTACTTTTTCTGCCACACAAGAAATGCTTCTTACCTCTCGGCTTCTGAAAATTAATTTTATTTATATATTATTTATATGTAACTCGCTGATTACAAGTATTCTCACAGTACATATTCAAAACTGCGTTAACACGTCTTACTAATGGTGAACATTTTACTAACTTATTGTCCGTCTGTTGTGTCGTTTGATTCCTTGCCGTTCGCCTGTTTGCGCCGAACCCACCAAACGATGCATGCGACGAATAACTTGCCTCTGCAGTCAATGACAACTTTTTCGGTAAGAATCGCCAAGGTATCCACTTCTTCCGCTTTGAGTGCATTTCTCGAATCGCTATTTATTCTATCATCGGGATTACATATTTAATGGGTCTTACGGTAATGGAAAAAAAAAAATTCTATATCTGCTTTCTCTGAAAATATTATAAATGGATGCGAAGTCTAAGACTTTTTTGCTTTTAACAGGCATGGGCAAAGAAGTCGAGAATCTGATCATGGAGAATAACGAACTTCTAGCAACAAAGTGAGTTCTACCGTTGTTGCTTATTCGTGCTACGTTGACAGTGGCAAAACGAAATATCTTTATTTCAGGAACGCGTTGAATATAGTCAAGGATGATCTTATCGTGAAGGTGGACGAGCTGACAAGGTGAGGATCTATTCTCCGTGGTTCTATGTCGAGTTGAGCCTGGGTAAAGACTAAAACAATGTACTCAGCGAACAAGAGATACTGCGGGAAGAGATACGGACTCTGCAACAGGCGAGGGAACGTCTTAGGCAGAAAGTGGCGGCCCTGGAGGAGGAGCTGAAGAAGGTGAAGGAAGAGGCCGAGGCTGCCGCCAAGGCGACGAAGAGCGACGACGAAGAGGACGTACCACTGGCCCAGAGGAAGAGGTTCACCAGGGTCGAGATGGCGAGGGTGCTAATGGAGAGGAATCAGTACAAAGAGAGGTTCATGGAGCTCCAGGAGGCCGTTCGATGGACGGAAATGATCAGGGCCTCGAAAACCGACCCGTCCACTATATCGGGTGGGAAACTCTCGCTCTGGAAAATGTAAGTCCTCTCGATGATGCACACCTCCCTGCAACTTGGAAAAAATCGTACTAAGGAGACGATTTAATCCGCGGTTGAAATTGTCAGCGTTGCACCGACGACGGGGAGACGCTTCTCGATAGTTTCTAGAATAGCGTATTCTAATATCGTAGCACCTTGAAGTTTTAGCAACCTCTTCACGGGCTCGACGGACCGAGGAGGATTAGTACGAGGGCCGCATTCTTCACCTCACATCCGATATAGTGCACCGACGAATCAGGTCGTCCCGGCACCCGTTATGGACAGCATGCGTAGACGTACGTTGAAAAGTCGCCACGACTTTCTCGACCAGGGAGACACCATGTGAGAATCCAATCACCTTATACACCTGTACAGTAATGTTCGGATTTAGGCTCTCAACCGGCAGGAGCTTGCTCGAGTATGACTTACGTAGATACGCCATTATTAATGTTGATTTACTCACCTCGCTTCGTACCTTTCGATCCATAGATGTGCTCTATGCTCACACATGCAACTCCTGTACGAAGTCTCGACAAAGCTGCGAAACGAGTCATAACGCCGACCGGTTCACCGACCACTTGACTGACATTTCGACACGAAATTACGTTTGCAAAACGATTTTCATTTATCGCCAGATAAATCGCACTCTCGGGCTGGGTTCCAGGGTGCTAATTCGGAATCCGGAGTTATATTCGTTTCCGGAGATTCTATTTAAATTTATAGATATCTATGCTTTACGCCACTCGACGTAAGCCAAGCGAAGGTCTCTAGGACCTAGGCGTTACGAAAACTCCTAACGACCAATCGTTACCAAGACTCGTTTCACTCGGGGTAGTCGAATCAACTTTTGCTCAGTGTGATCTCCTTTGTTAGTAGCACCCGGTGAAATTTGTACAATAATCTGGTCCTTCACCTTGGGTACCAGTCGGACTTTTAACGTTTTCCGGGGAGCGGTAGTTTACTTTTAGACGTCTGTATCTAGAGGAAGAGAGTGAACGTTACTTCATCTTTTAGAATCGGGTCATGACCGGACATGAATTCATGCGATTATGTCGACTTGTCATGCAGACAGGGAAGATTTGTCTTGTAAATACGAATTTGTACATTTTCAAATCGATCTTATAACATGACATACCGTCGAGAGGAAATAAACGGATTTATTGTTACGTTACGTTTGGCTTTTATTTCACGATCGTTGGTCACGTCGCTGTCGGTATCTTTAGTCTGGGTCTCCTCACCTGTTCTCCCATGCAGTTTCGAAGGAACGCCCGGGCTTCCCGTGACTTGCCATGCTTTTGGTGGTTGGTGGGAAACCGTAAGGTAAACCGATGTTCTGCAGACTTTTCTTTCCGCCACCCGCGCCCCTGAAATTACTATCAGCACCGTTAGTACAGCTAGCCAACTTCTAACACCCTTCGTAGAAACTTCATCTAAGTACGTCTGTGCAAATCTACCGGCAAGTTCCATAAAAAAGAACTGACCTTGAAATGTTAACCATGGAACCAGCACTGCACACCTCTAGCTGCCCGTTCCTGCATTCAGAGATCATGTCAGAGTACAGAAGACGAATCGAAATGTACTTGTAGGTCCTCGGAGAAGCTCGTAGCTAGAAGAGCGACCGAACGAAGGGAGCAGTACAGACAAGTAAGGGCACACGTCAGGAAGGAGGATGGACGTCTTCAAGCTTACGGGTGGAGTTTGCCAGGAAAACCCAGTGCCCCTGCTAGACAGCCTGTTCCAGTTCCGGTGTACTGTCGTCCCCTCCAGGAAACGGAAGCAGGGATGAAGGTATTCCCTGTAACATTTGATAGGCTATTAATTTGAAAATTATTATGGAAAAGCGTAATCAGTGGGATCTTAACTCGTAGATATGGTGCGGCGCCGGGGTGAACATGAGCGGAGGGAAAACCAGAGATGGAGGGTGCATGGTCGGTGGCAGCGTCTTTTATGCAGCCGAGGCACGAGAATGCACCGCCTCGAAGACGGAAGCGGAGGATGCCGTCGAGCACCTTGACAAAGAGCTCCACGAGAACGAGCAACATCGTCTAGAGGCCGAGCGACTGGACCAGCAGCTCAGTTCCCTGGTTTGGATATGCACGTCCACGCAGAAGATGTCCAAGGTCACCGTGATAGACGCCAACAATCCTGCGGATGTCCTCGAGGTCTTCAACGTCTGCCAGAGCCACCTGCTCTGCATCGCAAGCGTCCCTGGAGCCAAGGAGAGCGATTACATTCAGAATTCACACGACGAGGTGGTCGGCATTTCGGCCAATGGCAACGGCAAGGAGAACAGCGTTGTCCAGGACGAAGAGTCGACTTCGACGAATCTTGTAGCTGGCGATGCCTCTGAAAACTGCCAGGTAGTACATAAACTGAGATGCCTCGTTAAGAGCGTCCAACGTCTGAATATACGTTTATTAGAGCCGTTGGATATATTTCCGGGGTTTGGTAGAACCCTAATAATCGGATGACTGTACCTTAGGATGACAAATCCAAGTCCGAGGACAAGAACGAGAACTCCTTTGCCGAAGACCGGACGAACGAGACCTCCGAGAGGGCCACTGACACCGATCCGAACTCCAACACCGAGCCTCAGAGTCTGGAGAGTGTCGACAGCGAGACTGCGAATCTGGGGAAGGTGCAATTCGTCAAGTCCATTCCGGAATCGCTGTCAGTCAGGGCGAACGGTACCGAGCTCGAGGTCGAGGGCAGCGACGTCGAGGAGGAGACTCCCATCGAGAAGATGTCTTCGATTCAGCCGACCATGTGGCTGGGTGCACAAAACGGTGCGGTGTTCGTCCATTCCGCCGTGGCAAAGTGGTCCGTTTGTCTTCATACCGTCAGACTGAGAGATGCTGCTCTAGCGATCGTGTGAGTACAGATCGGAATGCGTTTCGATGTAGAAGATGGAACCTACCGGTGGGATCTCGTCTCTGAACTCCAGTTGTTCCGATAATTTTAGTCACGTGCAAGGCCGGGTCTTCGTGGCCCTCGCAGACGGCACCGTCGCGATATTCAGGAGAGGCTCCGATGGCCAGTGGGACCTTTCCCAGCATCACATCGTCATCCTGGGAAGTCCTCAGCATTCCATTAGGTATGCATATCCACCGAACGATTCCATGTCCATTGATTTTTCTCTTCTACTTCTTTTTACTCCGTTTTTCTCTTTCACTAGATGTATGGCGTCGGTGTCTGGGAAGACGGTGTGGTGCGGCTATAGGAATAAGATTCACGTCATAGACCCACTTACAATGACGTTGGAGGTGAGCTACCTTCTGTATGTAGAGAATGCGTTTGGATGGAACGTGGACCATTAATTGACAATTGGCATTGATTTGTTATGCAGTGCACGGTCGATGCACATCCTCGCCGCGAGTCCCAAGTGCGGCAGCTCGCCTGGCTAGGAGAAGGCGTCTGGGTCAGCATCAGGTTAGACTCTACCCTGAGGCTCTACCATGCTCACACCTACCAACATCTTCAGGACGTCGACATCGAACCCTACGTCAGCAAGATGCTGGGCACTGGGAAGCTTGGATTCTCGTTTGTCCGCATCACCGCTCTGCTGATATCCTCGAATAGGCTGTGGATCGGCACGGGAAACGGCGTGATCATCTCGGTGCCATTGTCTGAAAGTAAATAAACGTCAATAGACATTACGTGGCACCGTGATTCAGACGTAAAATTAGAATAACGTTGCCCTGTACTTCGGTTTAGGCGCCGGTGGGTCCATGGCCGTGTCCAGAGTGCAAGTTGGAGGTCCTAAGGGAGATGCACCAGGCATCGGAGTTAGGGTCTTCGGCACCGACAGAGGTGTCACCCCGGGTAGCTTCGTTCCTTACTGCAGCATGGCACATGCCCAGCTGAGCTTTCACGGACACAGGGATGCCGTGAAGATGTTCGTCGCCGTGCCAGGTACAATCGTAGTCTCGTTTCGCACGGCTCGTCTCTTAATTCCCACGAAATTAACATTCTTTCAGCGGCCTAGCGGACATCCTGCGCCTCGATAAACATGAAACGATTGCATAGTCAATGCCGAGGAATATATTTACGGGAAATTATAATCTGGAATGCAAACGAACGTCGTGCCACCCGCGTAAAAATAGAGCGCTTATTGACGCCGTTCACTTTATTATTCTTCACTTGACGTCGTGTTTCTTTTTCTCCGATTAGACAAGCGTTAACCGGGGTGTCGAATGTTCTCCAACGTTCTGGGGTATGTCTTTTGTCATGTTTCTTTAAATTTTCCTTCAGGTCATGGTGGTCAGAGCGCAGCTTCGGACGGGTCACAGCCCGCCATGCTCGTCTTATCGGGCGGCGAAGGCTACATCGATTTCAGAATCGGTAAGCGAGTGTCCGGGAGTTTTGCATTGCAATTTCGCTAGCAGCGGGGTCAAGCAGTATCGCGATGTCCGTTTAGTAAAGGGAAACGCCGGCTTAAGCGGGCTAGAATTTATTTTCTCCCTCGTGAACACGAGGTGAGAACCCTTCGCGGTGCCTTCGCGCCCTCGATCCTCATCCCCTCTTGAGACGGAAGTTAACGCAGATCGGTTCGAACGATTGATCCGAAGTCTCGCCTCTCTCTCTCTCTCCAAGAATTTACATTGTCAACGACCCTTGATAATTTCAGTGGAGGACGCGGAGGACGAGAGCGATGAGGCGACCCATCTGATTGTCTGGCAGCTGGTAAGGTACGCGAAGGACTACGGAGATCGTCCTCGAAATCTTGCTCTTGGTTCTGTGTTAATGGACGTAATATAACCGATTAATAGACATCATTCCTTCGTTGGGCACGTGGTTACCTCCTTGATAACGGGAGATCGGGTCGGAACATTTAATAGGACCGGGAGAACCTCGAGTTCCGCATTTGCCACTTCCTGTCCCTGCCTCATCCTTCGTCGATACACCTTGAAGAGGACGTTACGTCGACACGGCTCCTGTCGCCTCACTGCTTAACTTCGATGCTACCGATAAGTGCAAAAGTAGTCTTGATAAAATGAGATTATCACCTTTTCTTTTTTTTTTTCCTTTATCGTGAAATCTTGCCAACGGAGTTTCTTCAGGCAACTATTAAAGGGTTCATCCGATTCTCTCTCGCTCTCTTCCACTTCTCTTTCTCTCTCTCTCTCTCTCTAACAGTCGTCACTAACGATCGTCCACGTCGTCCGAGTGTCTTAATCAGCCCTCGATGTCGTTATCCGGGATATCGCTCGAGGAGCTCGTCCATTCGATGCATCTGCACGAACTAACATGGCTATTTGGATAGGGTCTAACAGACATGTCTTTTCGTCGTGTCTGGACGGATTCTCGATGACTGGGAAGTCGGGAATCGTGTATATATGTACCGCACGATGTGCTCTTGAACATGAAAATATGAAACGCGTCGAGGTCCTTTCGCATCGAGAGTCCTCCGAGTTTCGGCTCGGTTGTCCAGAAAGAAATGGAGAAACGAGACGTAAGACTCTCTTCTCATTTCCGAGGCGACTCTCGATCGCTCCGGTTCCTTTGTCCCTCTTGACTCTTTTCTCTCTACTCTTTGGAGCCGGGTAGGCAGGGGAAGCACTGCCGGTTGTATGAACCTCGTACTCATGCTCGCCATCAGGGTCGGGGCAGGTATCCCATTGGACGAGGAGATCGCCTTAAATCACTCCAGGAAGTAGAGACCGCGAATACCTGGAATACCTCGCGTGCAAGTACACGGCTTCCGGTCCGCTTCCGGAGGTGGGACAAAGGTACCTCTCGAAACGGCACCCAGCACTCTGTCCTTGATCTCTGCACCTCACTTCCGCTGATTCACGACACCTCGTCGGCGTCCAGCCTCGTCTGGTACACCTGCAAGGTGCATCCACGGGAATTAAACCGGGAAAAGTATTCATTACCTCTCGACTTGTCCTCAGGTGACGGAGACGACACGGAGGAGGGCATGGAGCGGTCCGCCGTGGCACCTGGAGGACCCAGCATCGAGGAACAGGGCGAACAGAGTCACCTGATAGTCTGGCAGGTCCAATGTCCGTTTCCTGCACCCTCGACTACCTAACTCCTGGTCGGGACTGGGCTGAGCTTTCCTGGGTACACGGCCTACCTCGGCGAGGCCGCAGGTCGCCGTCCGGGTCTTCCCCCTGGGCCAGGTGGTCGACAGCCAGGTGGAGATGAGCCGGCGGGTCGTCATTAGCGTGCTACCTAGATAAAACAGATCACTTAGAACGTACTATTGTCACGCGGAGGTGAGTTATCCGCTTACAGGGTCGGCTAATCGACGACCGACTAACGCACCAGCTCCTCGGACGCGCCGAGAGCGAGGAGAGGGCATTTTTACCGCGCCGAGGAAATAATTTGCTGACGCTACATGGAGGCAGCAATTGGCAGAGGCGATTGCGAAGCTTGATACTGGAATCGCGATTTTTAACTAGAGAAATAACTCCCGAATCGTGCTTCGAGAACGCCATTTTTCGAGGGAATCGTTGTCTCAACCCGCGTTATGAAAACGATTCCCTGGAGAAGGTGGCGTAGGGTGCTTCTCGAAGGTCCTTCCTGACACTGTGACTCGGTTCTTTTCTTATGTGCGAACGGCAGAACCGTAGAAATGATTTTCGACTACGTGGCTGGCTTGACGAATTTTTCTAAATCTCACGAACATATATATATACATATGCATAGACGTACAAGGTTTTTATCGGTTTCGCGATTTATCCTGGGTCGAGGTAGGTACTCGGTAATGAAATCGGCACTCGAACTCCTCTGTACCGAGAACGGTAGGGAAAGGCTGTACCGGTACGATTGACTCTACGTATGGAGGATTTCTTCTTCTTTTTTCCTCTCCACCTCCGTGAAATCAGGACTCCGGCTAACTCTCGCTTGTCTCGTCCCCGCGTTATACCTGAGCTATCGTAGACGTTAAGCGGTAACCTTGTCTGAATGATACATATAAATTATATATAAATTATATAAATATATAAATATATATAGAAGTATATATATGAACTTAATTTATATCGCGTCGCGACCGGCGAAGGAGTCGAGAGGCGTTAAAACGTCCTCGGCAAAGACCCTGAAGAGATCCGCGACTTCGAGTCGAGGACCTATCTACGCCGACGCTAATTCCAGCTCGATTTTTGCTTTTCAACTGGAAGACGGGGAAAAAGAAATCTCTAGGTCGTTTGCGAACACGTCGAGCTCTTCTCGCCGGGTCGCGTTTTATTTATCAGGGATATTCCACTATCTGGCAGTTAGGGATAACTCGATTCATGGTACCTTCGGGATTAACGAGGCACTTATGGTTTCGGACTTATCGGGTCGATTTTAAAAGCAATTAGCCGGCTAATTTCCAGATAGTGGAAAATCCCTCTTGGGCGTGCCGTGGAAATCCAAGGGAGAACCGAGGAGGCTCTCTTATCGGGAACGATGTACGTATCGCGGAAGGTGGAGGTCCTGATTTATTGACATTTAATGACCGCCAATACCAGGGTCTTGATAGATGTTAATTAATGTTAACCGTCGCTTCCATGGCACGCCTAGATTTTATTCCGTTTAACCGGAGAGCACGTCGATCGATTCGGTGCTTGCCAAAACGCCAAGACTACTTCATCTCGACTCCGAGATTGAAGTAATTAAGTAACCGAGCACAAAGAACGTAGATCTTAATGTAACAATGTCCACGGCACCCGTGCACACGAGGTGCGATAATGTGTAAATAATAATTGCGTAGCGGCTCGATCGATCCTCGACGACGACGCAGAAGCGCGAGCATCGTCGAGGGGTTTCCTACTTAGCTTCTCTCGTTTTTCATTTCTCCCTCGATCATCTCCTACCAAAGATAAGGATCGATTGCATTGTTTGTATTACTTGTAACGAGGATATACGGCTAGCCTGCGAATAAGGGCCGACACCTCGATGGGTGCGCCCAAGTGTCGAGCGGTGGTCTCTGGCTCGGGGGAAATAGCTGAAGAATTAACAGGCAGCATTAATAAAAGCAGTTGCGAAGGAAATCTCTCTCGATTTCTTGTGTTTACCCGTGTACATACTCGAGTCCGAAGAAAAATGCCCGGGAAGTGACGCACCCGCTGTTTAACGTCCACCCGGCGTTAAGTGCGTTTTAAGGTACAGGAATCCCGAGTGAACGTAATGACACGTGAAATCCCGTTATAAATTAAAAATCGCCTATCGAAAACACGAGTCATTGATAAGAATCTCCGATGCAATCAGGACATATCGTTGCCGAGATACATCGATCGCTACGAGAAGGCTCGGTCTATTTTAGCATACTTTTTTTTTTTTAACTCGCCAACGTATCGATCGCGGAAGCCTGGATGCGATAACGTTTACTGTCCACCACTGTTAGCAGGTCTGCGATGAAGAAGACCCATTCGCGGGTTCCTCAGCAGCCTGAAGGTGATTAATGGAGTCGAATCGCTCTTCTACGCCGCATAAAAGTGGACAGTCTACCGCGGGCTTCTTTCTAGCTTTGTCACGTTGGCGCAATTCGCATGATTAACATAATTCTTAATACGAAACGCGCGAGTCTATTAGCCTAAGTCGTAGCTTAAGTCCTGATCGCAATCATCGACTGAAAACGTAATCAGCTGATTGGGATGTCAGCTGATCGAGGCTGCCTTCGCCAGGTTATGGACGCGTCGTTAATGGACTAGCCAGGCTATTATTAAGGTATTCGGAAGGCGATTCGACGGCAGCCTTCCCGGAGGATGCTGGGCAACCTTGCGGTGCGTCTTCTGCGGCCGTCCTGGTGCACCGTCGCGGGCTCGGGGGCGGCGTCGCGACGCTCTCTTCGGGGCTCGACAGCGCCTCACTCCCACCAGAGCCTGGTGGACGCGGCCGATAAAAGGCAGCGGCCGTGCCGGGAAATGAGTTATTCGAACCGCTCGCCTCGAGGCGCACCGGACGTCCAGAGACTCTCGTCGAATCGAGCCAAGTCGAGTATTTTGCAAGGTCGTCCCCCGGATTCGGGTTGCGCCCCCGACATGGCCAGGGACCCGGCTTCCGAACAGCTCATCGACTACCGGAAGAACATGAAGGTACGACCGTCGTTCGCCTTCCTTTCTACTCTTGGCCCTTCCTTTTGACACTCTGGCGGTTATCGATGGCCTCCTTGCGGACATGGTATCACCTGAGCGTCACATAGCATGGTGAGAAGCTATGGAAAGGCATTCGCGTCCCATAGGGTACCTTTCATGGTGTACCTTTCATGGTGTACCTTCAGGCGTATGTGCTCTTCAGGCCTTGCACACGTAGAACCACAAGAACATGCCTCTTCGACCGGTTCGACTGGTCGGTGCAGCGTACGGCTAACACCGTGGTCGCCTTCTGGAAACCAGAAAGCCTAATCAGACACCGAAGACTTTCGGTGCCGGCTGAATTAGGTTATGGGATACCTCGCGCTCGGGATTCCTCGGCGTCGACGCGGTTGATTTAACTGATGATTTAACGCTCGGACCTTGTGAAGCATGGAAAACCGGTCGTTCCTTCGACTTCGGCCTGGCCATGGAAAAGGAGGAAATCTCCATCTGGAAAATGCATTTTCAGTCAGACATGCAGTGCGAGGATGCCCTGATAAAATTACGCGCTGCGCAATAAATTGTAATTTGCTCGGTACGTCGGGGGAATGTTCGTGCGTAGATAAATGGCGGTATTGTCGGTCATTTTGGCCATTTTTTTTGTTTCATTTTTGTCTTACGAGGTTTTTTTTTTTAGTGGGCTCCGTTCAGGCGGAAACTTGATTTACGTCCGTTCTTGCGTGTCCGTGAATTGCGATTTAGTTCCGTACTTGAGCCTCGATTTCAATGTTAAAATCAGCCTCTTATCTGTTTTCTGTGAATGGCTGAAAGACGTCTTTTATCCGTACTCTTTGGACGGAAAAGTGTACTGCAAGTATGAGCTTCGATGTTCTTAGCTCCCGAAATGCCGACCGATAAACACTCGAATCATCACATGCTTCTAGATAAATGCGGTAACGGGGACGTAATCAACGTCAACAAAGTGACATCAGCGTTATCGCAAATCGCACCGATGTTGCAGGTTCAAGATTGTTTGTACAATGAACAAGCCGCAGAGCCGAAGACGTGATCTTTGAGCCTTGAAGAGGCGCGATTAGATTGATAGTTGGTACGAGCTAGGTGATATTGCTATCGTTATCCGTGAACAGCTATTCCTGATCCTTGGCAAATCGAGTGTCGAGCAGTATGCTCGGCTCGGTGAGAGTTCCTCGTTGCAGGCTTGTTTACGTCGCCTCCCTCTTCGCTTGCAAAGCAGGCTGGACTCGAATTAACGAGCCAATCGAATGGCCGTTTCCTCTGGAACTTTCTGACCCCTTTCCAGAGCCTGGGATATTTACATAAATGTTTAGCATTTACCTTTAACGAGCAAAACGTACTACCTGTTTTTTTGGATCAATTGCGGTGAGGTCGGTTAGGAACGACCGTGCCGCGGAAGGACGCCATAACTGAAACAGACCGTTTGATTGATGTGCTTTTCTTATTTACCCTGAAAGTAACTGCCCAAGGCTCGTTACATGTACCGACGTGTACTAAATGTGCTAATAATCGTTTCGAGCTGCGTTTTGAACGAATCTTTTCGACTCACCGGCGAATCCTGGAATCCCGCCAAAGATAAGCGACGCGCGCGCCGCCATCTTGCGGCGTCTCCGTTTCGCGCCACTCGTTTAAACGCGCCGACCGTTAAATCCATCTAACGGACGCGAGACGTTAAATAATTATTCGATCCGCGCTCGCGTGACCGCAAACGCGGCAATTTATCGCAAAAAGGTCTAAAAGGAATCCACGATCGCGCTAGAGCATCGAGGCCAGCGCCGTTGCACAATTGCCTTCTCAATTATCAATGGCATTAAAGTCGCGGTTATGACGACCGCAGGATGCGGCGGCGATGCAAACGCGAAAATTGACCGATAGGGACTACGATAAGTCCCGGGTTCCCACAATTAGGTCGGCTGATTTCCAGTCGATTTTCATATGGATATATTCACTTTGGAAGTACTCGGCGATTAACGTAAACATAGAAACGCGGAAAAAAGTGATTGCGGAATTACGCCGGCGAATGTGACGACCGGGAGCGAAAAAAAAAAATTGCTAAATATTGGAAAATTACCGGTTACATAACGACGCATCGAGGCGCAATTTTACCCGCAATTACCGATAGGATTAAGGACGACATAACTTCTGCGGAACGAGGTGGCGATTTGAAAACAATGAGGCTTGACCAATATGCGAGAAAATAGTATAAGTCTTGAGTTCTCACGCGGTGTCGGCGAGTCGTCACATTTGCATTACGCATAAAGGCCTCTGCGGTTGCGGAAAGTGCGGCAAAACGTTGCGCTTTCGACAGCCCGGCTTGCATGCGAACTCTCGGCCGAGTGATAATTCTTAATGTTAACTAGGTCTAATTTATCCTTATTGGCAACTATCGCATGTGGGTCACGCCTCGGAGGCGATTTTAAGTGCACTCACAATGCACTCTTTATGAATTTCGAGTCGGTGAAAGTCTCGCTATGAAAACCGATCGAAGGTCCAGCGATTATGTATGGAGAGAAACATGCGGTTTCAAGAATTACAAAGCGAAAAGAGGTCAAAGTTACTCTTGGCTGTGGTGCCTAGTGTACTCGACGCGAAACACTGAAAATGCCTCGATGATTACAATTAGAATTATTCCCGCCGTGAGACAATTAAAGTACCTCTTAATGACAATGTATTGGTTCTATCGGTAATTTTCAGGGCGATCCTCCGGTATTGTTGACGGGAAATGGCAATCCGATCGCGAACAAGAAGGCCTCCATCACGGTGGGGCCGAGAGGCCCGGTGCTTCTTCAGGACTTCGTCTACCTGGACGAGATGTCACACTTCAACAGGGAAAGGATCCCAGAACGCGTGGTCCATGCGAAAGGAGCAGGTAAATCCATCTGGATAAACCTGGCCTCTTTCTTTGATCTCTTGATTTATTAATTCCTTAATTCCTTAATTCCCTGATTTCTTCATTTCCGCCCCGGAGAGATGAAAACGTGTCCCAGGAAGGAAACGGCCACATCGTCGGAGTGAATCGATCCGGCCTGGGCCATTATTATAAAATTCCTCTCTCTTGCGGACATAATAATTTTTCCTACTTCGAATGTTCCTTCAGGCGAGAGTACCTTGAAAGAAATTCTAGGTTTTACGCCGGGTGCTTTTTTTGCCTCTTTCCTTCCTCGCCTCCCTGTTCGCCTCTCTGCTAATTAATCGACACCTTTTGCAGGTGCATTCGGGTACTTTGAAGTGACCCACGACATCTCCAAGTACTGCAAGGCTAAGGTCTTCGCTGGAATCGGGAAGAAGACGCCGATCGCCATCAGGTGCTCCACAGTGGGTGGTGAGAGCGGATCTGCGGACACGGTCAGGTAAAACCCCTGATTTTCAAAATCCAGTCCAGGAAGTCGGCCGTCAACCTGCAACGCAGTCTTTACATTACCAAGAGGTCCAAATCGGAAGAGAACACGCGGAAGCTGCGAAACGCGAAATCGTTGTCGATTTCGCGGTCGCACTTCCTCGCGCATTTATGCGACTGAGCATGACTTTCGTTTTGGTCGGATTGAGCGAAACGTGATCTCATCACTCGAGAAACCGAGTCACTTCCCGCGGATGCGATTGCTCCTGGCCTTCGATGGACCCAGAAAAAAACGAGATGATTTCTTGACTCTCTTTACTATTTAAATAATTAATACCAATTACCCATTTCCAGGGACCCCCGCGGCTTCGCCGTGAAGTTTTACACCGAGGATGGGATCTGGGACCTGGTCGGGAACAACACTCCCATTTTCTTCATCAAGGACCCTCTCTTCTTCCCGAGTTTCATTCACACCCAGAAGAGAAATCCAGCGACTCACTTGAAGGTCTGATTACTTCCTTTCTAGAGAAACGGACAAGTTATGGTTAGTATGATGTATTGTTTATCAATTTATATATTCCAGGACGCCGATATGTTCTGGGACTTCATATCTCTGCGCCCGGAGACGACGCACCAGGTCATGATTCTGTTTTCTGATCGAGGTATTCCTGACGGATATCGTCACATGAACGGATATGGTTCGCACACCTTTAAGCTCATTAACAACCGTGATGAGATGGTCTATTGTAAATTCCATTACAAGGTAAGCGACGTAGTTATCAGTTCGTTTACTGGTTCCCTGGGAGCAGGGAGTCTTTTATAAGGATGGGATTTTCCGTCGTTGCAGACCGACCAGGGTATACAAAATATCCCAACGGATCGAGCAGCCCAATTGAGTGCCTCGGATCCAGATTACAGCATCCGAGACCTGTACAATGCCATCGCAGTCGGGAAATGCCCGTCGTGGAGTTTCTACATACAAGTAATGACCCCGAAACAAGCAGAGACTTTCAGGTGGAATCCGTTCGACCTTACCAAGGTGGGTTAAATCCTGCAGGTAAAGCGCACATCGTCTCCAGAGAAGGACATTTTCACTTCTTGCAGATCTGGCCACACAAAGAGTTCCCGTTGATCCCAGTCGGGAAGATGGTGCTGGACAGGAACCCCGAGAACTACTTCACCGACGTCGAGCAACTGGCCTTTGATCCGGCACATATGCCGCCAGGAATCGAGCCAAGTCCTGATAAGATGCTGCAAGGACGACTTTTCGCCTATGGAGACACTCATCGACATCGATTGGGACCCAATCACCTCCAATTACCAGTCAATTGTCCTTACAAGGTATTTCTTCAGCTGGATTAAAACGACTGCTAATAAACAATTATCTCTAATATCAATTACCTGGACTTTCAGATGATCTCCACGATGAATTACCAGCGAGATGGCTTCATGGCGATACACAACCAAGGTGGTGCTCCGAATTACTTCCCCAACAGCTTCAGCGGCCCCTTGGAGTGTCCAGCTGTAAGATCACCCAGCTTCCACCTGGACGGAGACGTCAACAGATTCGACCCTGTCAACGAAGACGACTTCGGTCAGTCCACCACCTTCTGGAGAGAAGTCCTCGACGCGGATGCCAAGACCAGGTTCGTCGACAACGTCGTGGGCAGCCTGAAGAACGCCGCCACCTTCATCGCCGAGAGAGCCGTCAGGAACTTCACGAAGGTGGACTCGGATCTTGGCAGAAGGTTGACAGAGGGTCTACGTAAGGCCGGCAAACCTATTGGCACCACAAAATCTGCCAACCTTTGAGGAGCCCCCACGAAGATCCGCTCTTCGAGGCCGCACAGTCTCATCTGATCGTTTTTGTTACGCTTCGAGTTTTACTTTCACAGCTCTAAGATATTATATATATTTTTTTTTTTAATTTTATGCAGGTCCCACGTGCCTTCTTTGATCTTAGGTTTGACATTTCCACGCGACATTTATGTTAGACAAATATATACGTTTTTGCAAATTGTCTTCTTCACTTGTGATGCGTTCAACAACTGAAGGCACGTTTTGATAGCGCCGTCGTTTCTGCCAGCTGAGACATCTGTCTTTTTAGCCAATTGTGTAACCGCATATAATGGAAATGACGCACAGCTCTGAGTTCAAAGTAAACGGAGATGTTCGATCTGGTTTGCGAAACAGTCTCCTCTTATCGTGTACCAGGAAAGTCGAGGTTTCCGTTGCGGGCTGAGTAGAGCTGAACTCCCGGGGAACCACCGTTTCCTTAAGTGACCGGGAAAAAGGGAATCCCCCGAGTTCGCTGTTTCACCAAGCGATTCGCATATAAGAGATCGCACGAGGGTCGAAAAGCCAGTTCTGCTTTGAGCTTTGCACCGAAGAAGCCCTCGAGACCTCTCGCGAATCCTGAAGAAGATGACGAAGATGACGAAGCTGTGTCTGTTCGCCGTTTTGCTGGCCGTAGCGATCGTCTCGGTGCACTCGGCACCTGCTGAAGGTAAATTCTCAATACATATCACATATGTATTTACAAATATTCTCAACATATTTACACTGTATATAATATTCTCATATGTCGTATATTGATAAATATAGGTGAAACCTAAGGACCCGCTGAGTATAAATTTTCTTTGCAAAATTCCTCACCATCCTCGGTTGTAACATTTATTTCCATCCCCGAAGCACTCGAAGAGGGCCTTCTACCGGGAGACAAGGAGTTCGAAGACCTGGAAATGGTCCAGGAAGAGGACAGAGCGGACCGACATCGCAGAGTGACCTGTGACCTGCTCTCTTTCGGAGGTAAGGTCGGGCACTCCGCTTGCGCTGCCAATTGCCTCAGTTTGGGGAAAGCTGGGGGAAGGTGCAACGACGGGGTGTGCCAGTGTCGCAAGTGAGTCCCAACAAAAATTTATATTCTAAAGAAATGACGCTCAATGTGAGTAAAAATGCTCACCTGACGCCATGGGTGTCGATCCCCAGGACCACCTTCGGGGACCTCTGGAACAAGCGATTCGGCTGATCCGTCCCCTGCCTCCTGGAAGTCCTCCAGTTCTATCCTGGCGTACCCAGCATCACCAAAGTCTGTACTTCGGCTGTGTCCATATCTATGCATCGTTTCTATACAATAAACACTTAACATTAGCATGCAAACTTGCTTTTAGCCCAGAAGGACCCATCATCACCAAAGTGTCCTTTGGCCGTGTCCACCTCTCAACATTGTTCCTATACAATAAACTCTTAACATCAGGACGGAAAAGTGGTATTCGGTACAAGGGCAATTTTTTGAAGCAGTTCCTAGGAGGATAAGAGCCTTCTCATTAAATCCACCCTGGCGACTTCGTCGAGGCGAACAGTAGTGTAGCATCCCTATGGAGTACCAAAATCTCGTCCGGACGAGTAGCCTTTGACGAGCCAATATCCCGGCCCCCTCCAGCTCTAATTATAAACTTCATGTGGCTTTGATAGGCGGCTCTCGATGGATATCGATATATCATTACGGCACGCGCTCCTATATGCGAACGGATACGTAGAACAGGGCTCTAGAATACCGACGCGGCCGAGACTGTATGCGCGCTCCGCCGGCGGAAAACCAATATGCTTTGTGCTTGGCGCGCGATTAAAAGGTCGAGAGAGTTTGCCATCGATATTTTCGACTGGTAATTATTGGAATCTTCCTTCGGCCGTGGGCGCCGATCGCTTCGAGCCGTGCGATTAAAGCCTGTTCCCCGTGCCCGCTCGTAGAGGGCCCTCGAGGAGCGCCATTTGCAAAACTATTTCAATTCCGCCTCTCGCCGTCGGGGTTCCCCTTTTTCCGACCCCCGGACATTTCGGGGCACATCCTCTCGGATCCACCCCGCAGGAAACGAGATCTCGCTTTTCGGCCCTTCCGACGCGTCGCTCCGGCCAAATTCGAAGGAAATTCCCCCGACGCGACGATTCGCGCGAGAGGGGCGCCACTTTTTGCGACGCGTCTTCCCCGGGGCGCGTGTTGCCAGGATTTGCATTTTTGGGCTCGCTCGAGCGAAAGGGGCCGCCGGGCGAAAGCTATCCATCAAAATATCCCACGCTTCGACGGCTGGGACGTTTTGCGAGACGAGCGATCGACTCGAGGGCGCCGACCGGTCCGCTGCGGATTCAAAGGGTGCGTCCATCCCAGGAGACTACCTTGCCGACATTGTCGGGAGGGCCGAATTTTTAACACAGGCAGAACGTTATAATAAAAAACCCTTTAACTGCGAGGAAAAAATTCTGAAGAATTCATTGGGCTATTGGCACGTTTTAATTTCTGGGCGCTACGCCGTCGAGAGGTAAAAGAAGCGGTACCAAATAAGAATACACGCCGGAAATGGATGTTTTCAGGGTGGACCTGAATTTACTATTCTTTCGAATTTTTCAGAATTTTGGATACGCAGGTTTGGGGGTTTGGTAGTCCGAGGTTTCTCAGTGGTTTCCACGGCAACTCGTTAGTACTGCCAGTTAGGGGAAAATGGTGTAGAAAATAGGAACATACCGAAAGTGTATGTTACACGCGAAGTCGGGCTGGACCTGGAATTTTTTCGAATTTTTGGAAACGCGGATGCAGGTGTGGTAGTCCGAAGTTTCTCGGTGGTTCCCAGAGTGACTCGTTAGCTCTGCCGGGTAGGGAGAAAAGCGGTATAAAATTGGAGCTTACCAAAATCGGATGTTGCACGGGAAGTTGGGCTGGATCTGGAATTATTCTGAGTCTTTTTTTTTTCTCTCTGGAATTTTTGCGAATATCTGGAAACGTAGGTGTGGTAGTCCGAGGTTTCTCAGTGGTTTCCAGGGCGGCTCGTTAGCACTGCCGGTTAGGGGATCGAATTCGAGGCGAGCAAAGGGAGCGCCCGGGCGGGACTGCATTATCGAGCGGGATGATTAGCACGTTCGAGGGACCGCTGGAAGCACTTCCGCTTCTCCTAGGATTTCAATGCCGCTCGTTAGTGCCGCCGCGAGTCTCGGTTCGCGTTTTGCGCCGTCCTCGAGGAGAGAGATCGATATCGGCGCCCGCCCGTCCCGAGCGGGAAAGCGCGGAGACGTTCGCTCCTCGAGAGTCCTCGCGGAGGGAAACCGCTCCTCGGAGCCGGCACCCCGGGATACGTGGGTGCTAATTATCGCCACCTCGAGACTCCCGATCCGCCGGGAAAATTACCGGGGAATATTAATAGCTGCGATTGGATCGATGATTGCCGGTGCCCGTCACTCTCGCTTTCGCCATTGTTGATACGTCCCCAGGTTCTCGCATACGTATCAGCGAGAAGACGATAACCCTTTACTAACGAGCCGCCACTGCGGTGCTTATCACCTAAACATTTTTTTTCCTACAGTAACAAACAAATATTTATGAGTTCTTACATAATATTCCCACTCCGCGGTTGACTGGTCCATAAAGTCGGTTCAATTCCTTCCTAAAAGTGCAGGGGTGTTGATCCTCGAGAAATCGTTGCTACTTGTAAGTTCCTGCGACATAACTCGATCTAATTATCCATCGATCAATTCGTAGATGTAAATATATAATATACATAAGTGGATCTCCAATTAACGAACCATCATCTCGATATATACATACGCGCTTTCATCCACCTCCATCCGGCGATCAACGGGGGGCGACCAATTACGGACACTCCGCGTCTTAATTAATCCTCGACCGGGAAGCGAGTCACGAAGTGGAGCTGAAACGAAAAAGAGTAAAGTAAGATCTGGCCTCGGAGCGTCGCGCTATTCTCCCGGAGAAAGGGACAGTGACGGCCGGCGAGCGAAGGAGTCGTTGATCCCACGCCGTTAGGTTAGCCCGCCCTCCGCGAGATGTCGCCGCGCGTAGTCGAGCTCGCAGGTGCAGCCTCCTAAGAGAGGTCTCTCTCTCTCGACGAAGGCGGAGCGACTCGATCGATGCGCCTCCGATCTCGTACGAGCTCTTCCGAGTGCACGCAGACAAGTCCGAAGGCGCATCCTCGCCAGGCGCGTCCGTGAACGTAGCCACGGACGAGCAGGTGTGGTCGCAGTCGCCGTTCGCTTTCCCTCTCTCTCTTTTCTCGTACACACGTAACCTCTCACCTCTCAGACAGAGAGCGGTAGAGAGAACCAGGGGAGGAGAGAGAGAGAGAGAAAGAAAGGAGGGAGAGTGCTCGCCCTCTTTTTCTCCGGGTGCTCGGATTAAATTTCCTCGTAAATTACATTTGCGCGTCGCTCCGGCAAATTAGATTTATGTCCGCGCGGCGCTGCGCGCGCCGGATAGCGCGAACCTGTCCAGTGACGTCATTGGCTGCGTCGGCTGGGGCGCCAGCCAATCAGGAGCGAGCGTTCGGACCGGCACGTTTCCGCGACCGTTGAGAGGCCAGATTTCGAGGTTATCCTGGTTCCCCATATAATCCTGAGGCACAATCAATATTTACCAGTAAGATTTAAATTATAACCGGTTTATAATTAGTCCATATTTGTTCTATATATTCCCACACGTTATCACCCGGGTTATTTTTGAATTGCGTTTGACCGTTGGATTCCCAATAATCAACACCCGTGTATCGCTTGACTCTCTTGTAACCTCACTCTTGGTTCGATAAAAGTTCCCTCTACCACTCCACTTTGAGTTATTTGAAGTAGAGTGGAGGATTAGAGGTTAGAGATCACAGGCTTATCGATAATACCAAGAGCGCGGTTTCGTATGGGGAAGATGGGAAAGGTAGATACAAATAGGATTGGCGGCGACTCAACTGGATAAAGTAAGATGGCGGGGGATGAAAAATCGGTGGGAAATCCAGCCGAATTTTCCAATCCTCTTTTCTCGTCCACGACCCTCGGCCGAGGGGATGGGGCGCGGTGAAAAAGAAGGAGGGACCCGGCGTCGAAATAAAACGGTAACGAGAGAGGCCGCGCGCGCACCCTGGAAACCGTCTGCTTATTACGTCACGTTGTACGCAGTTACTAATTAGTTACATTGAAAGCCGCCGCGCGGCGCGACGCGGCCGGGGTGGCTGGGGATGGTTGGTGCACCCGTGGAGAACTAAAATTTGTTTTCCTGCCACAGAGAGCCGCGGAGGGAGAGAGGGAGAGCGAGGCGGAGGGCAAGAGGAGCGACGGAGACGGATACTTATGGGCGAAGAGTGAGAAAGAGAGAGAAACGAAAAAGCAGCGACATTGCCGCTCGCAGGTGGGTCGCTCTCGGTAGGTCGGGGGCGCCGAGCTCGCGGGGGAGAGAGAGGGCGCGATGCGCCGCGCGGGTGAGGGAGAGAGAACGCGAAACACCGCGCCAAGCGAGGAACCGGCGACCCTGCGTGGCGCGCCACAGGCCAGAGAGAGAAGCAGCGATGCGCCGCGCGTTGGCTGGAGAGAGAGGGCGACAGCCTCGCCAGTTTTCCGCGCCCTTGTCATCTTTCTCGCCCGAGTCGCGATCGCGAGTACTCGAGGGGTGGATTTAACGGGATTACTCGACCGTAGGTGTTCCCGGGAGACGACTCGCCGGGTCGCGGATCCCTCCTCGCCCTTGGGAGCTAAAACCGCGCGGGGGAAACGCAACGACGAGTCGGCTAATCGGAGGGCACTCCACGTGTTCGAGAGCCTTCACGCAGGGAGCCCTTCATTTCCTCCATTTCTTTCGCTTTTCTCGTCTCTTCGATCCCACCTTGAAGAAGGCCATTTTTAATTCTAACCTGTCGCTCTGTTTTCAATTGTAGTAGCTAATTCGATTTCTTTTTCAGGTTCTGATTGGATGGTTTCTCCAGGTACGTCCTCATTCGACCGGTTTACTCGATTCCTGGGGTTCCGGGGTTCCCAGTATTGGGAGGGCCGTAATTGGGGTAGTGGCCACTCGATTCCTGGAAAGAAGCGCTGAAGATCGCTACGTGGTACGTCGATGCTTGGAAAAAAAGAGAATCGGCGCGATAGGGAAGGGTTCCACAGTTGACCGGGTCGCCGAGGAGGCTCCTCCGCTTCCGGGCCGCCCACCACCCGCTCGCTGACCGCCCGGGCGAGGGGAGGAAGGTCGGCCCAGCGGACGATGAAATCGCGAGCCGCTAATTAAAATCCACCCCGATCCGCTTAACGCCGCCCGCGGCTCGCTCGCCCGTGGGTAACTACCCGGTCGACCTGGCGACGACTCCGAAGAGGACTCCACGGCGACCCGGAAGTGGAGGGCCCCTCTCTTCTCTCGCTTCCGGTGCATCCGAGCCCCGGATCGATCGTACTGCATCATTTCCCATGGTGGCCATAAGGAAGGTCACGACACATATGAAATTTCATGTTTTA